TGATGGAGTTTAATAATGTAGCCCTATCACATACAAATTATTCACATTTCTGAAAAAAAATCAACTGTTGAAGCTTTGTCTAGAATTTTACATTCCTTTCAATTACCAGAATATCAAGATGGATACATAGTTGTATTCATCACATATAAAGATTGAATTAGTGTGAATGAATCTTAATTTTTAAAAGAAATCCACATTTTGTAACGAAACACATTTATAACTGTCATTTCATTCCACTAAGGGTGGACGTGTTATACATATGATTCTAATTTTTTTTGTGAGGACTCATGTTTATAAAATTGTGAAAATTAGTTAATTTGTAACACTGCAGTGATTCTGGACTTGGTCTGTTTCATGAAGATTACTGAAAGAATATTTTAGACTTTTAAGTAAAAGTAACACTTGTTGGAAGAGACAATTAAGCTAAATAAACAGCCAAAGCCTTATAGCCTAAGGAATTACTTGGATTTGTTTTACAAAGAGGACACAAATCTAGGTTTAAAGATGTCAGGAGCCTTAGATTTTTGGATATTGTTTGAGAAATGCAGTTGCAGTGTAGTCTGTGAAGAGAAAAGGCATTGAACACATCTTTCCACCATTTGAGAAACCCTTTTTAAGAGTCCAGTGAGAAAGCTGGAAAGATTGATGCAGCCATTCCTTTGAGACGCATCTGGAAGATATCTTCTCATTGACTGCCAAATGAACTGCTTCTGACAAGATTCCAGTGACAATTGCATGTGTCTAGTGACATCCATGCACGTGTACCAGAACACCAGACTGAAAGCCATCGAGAAGATTTCAAATCAGATCTTTCTTTTCCTCAAGAGCTAACAAATATTTGAGACTAATGTAAAAGATAAAGTACGCATAGGCCATATTTGTAACTCTATAAAATATTTAAATATATGTTGTGGCCATGGAGTAGTGGAATTAAAGAAAGACAGTACATCCTTCCAACTCCAAATGTAACAATATCAATAAATTAGAAAAAAAAAACTTACAGAAATATCAAGGTGAACATGAAAAGCAAGGGCCCTTTCTTGTGTTGAAAAAATAAGGTCAAAATGATCTTGGAATGTCCATACTTTACATATGCAGGCTCATTTCTTATGTATAATAAGCACATCTGAAATTTGAGCATCACAAATACCAATCATCATTAAAATAATCAGGAAAAACTGATCAAGCTAATGTAAAGACATAACACCCTTTAACTGTGTAGATAGTCCAGGTCTTATTTTTACCAACTTGATGTAAATTGTTCTATCAGTACTCAGCAGACTAGCAATAAAATCAAGTTAGCAATGCTAAGATGTGGATGATAGTTCAGTTCCTTTAGCAATAACTGATAGTTCTGCACAATAACCCCAAATGGCAACAAAAATAAAAGGTAATTGCTCGAAGCTATTCATCACCTTGAGCAAATCAAGAGAGTAATTACGCCATGGAAGAAATCTAATTAAACTTCCCAATTTCACATAATCATACTGAATCCCTGGGAGCTCTGCAGCATCTCCAAAGCATTTTTTTTAAATAGAGAGAACTGTAGGTTCAATGGGCAAAAATGTTCCAAATTTCTGCACTACTGCTAGTGCCTTGCAAGCAGCAAGAGGCTGTTAAGAAAATAATGGGAATACTGCCTGCAATTTTATTGTTATTGAACTCCATGTGTTGAAAGCAAGCTAAGACATGTTGGTCCCAGGTAGATAGGAAAGATATATGACAAGGGAAATTTCTTGCATGTCCTGCCCAATTTAACAGGATCTGATTTAACAGAAATCCTGTTTACCAGGAGCAGCCAGCCAGATTGTAGATAGGCCTACCTGCTGACTACTAGCCTAAGGCTTTGGGTTCTTAACAAGGTTCTGACACCATCAACAGCAACTCACTAAGAGGTCAGATCAATGGGAATGTGTCAGTCAGATCAGTCACATTGTATAGAAGGGTCAGTGGATTGCATAGCAAGCATACCTTACAGGTTTGTTGATTTGGAAGCAAGGGACAGCAATGCTATAAAGGCACATCACCTTAAGAATTGTGTGTGTGTGTGTGTGTGTGTGTATGTGTGTGTGTGTGTGTTTGTGCGCGCGCACGCGTGTGTGTGTGTGCGCGTATTTATACTTTCATATCACATTTACAAATATGTGCTGAATAAGTCTTTTTATAATAACACATAACACTCTTGTTTATTAAAAGAACTCAGTTGCCAGTTTTATTTTAATATTCTGAGATAAAGTATATAATTGGTCAAATATTTAACTAGATGAAACATTTAAATGTATGTTGTGAGCATGGAATAGTGGATCTGGAGAAAGACAGTACAACTGCCTCGTTTCCCTTGACCAAAGAGACACACTTTTGCAGGTGTTAAAAAATCAAATGTATATCAAAAGCCAGTACAAACACATTGGGTTGAATGGCTTCCTTCTGTACTGTAAAGTTCTGAAATTCTGTGGAAATATTTTAAGGAAGATGCAGCCCTTCAGTTTTAACAGTGATCTGCCTCCTGAGAGTAGATTAATCACCCATCCTGACTGCCATAATTAAAAAGGAGAGTGGGTTAAATGGAAGTGAATTGGGCTGGGATGCTTTTTTTTCCTTTCAATCGCTGCTTCTCCTTGGAGAATTGAGAATGGTGCTATAGCTAGGGCATGACTTCTATACTGAAAAGGCAGCAAGTAGTTTAAGGAAAAGGGAATGAAATGGAAGGGAGAAGGCTAGTATCCAATTTTTCAGATCTTGACATGGAGGTGCTGTTATTTAAATTTAGAGAACAAAGAGATCCCATCATGAAGAAACCATTACATTTGGTAGCACAGGCAGCATGAAAAAATGTTGCTGTGCATATGTTGCTACTTACCCCAAGGACACCATTTTAATGTTGAACAATGTTCAATGCTCTGCTCAGGTTTGCAAAGATAAATGAATAACAGGACAGCTGTCTGAATCACAAACAAGTTCATGGGTATTCCCTGGTGCTATATTCAATCACTTTTGGAGTGTCACACAGCATTATGTCATTTGTCCTGGAAACAAAATCGGGTTAGATTGTGTGCCCAAGTACCTGTGTGGCCCTTGAATACATAATATTTGGCCTCAGAGGCTAGAGAATAATCACTAAAACAAATTGATTCTTTCCCCATCATGGCAGCAGATGTTGCTTACATTTCATTATTCTTCTGACTTCAACAGCAGATATCAGGCAAAGGCCAATTAAAGACTCCTCAATAAATGAAAAAAAAGCAAAAGCCTTTACCTGCTGGCAGTTGCCAGCTCATGGGAAGGGAGTGTATCCATGCGTCTGAGTCTAGTCTAGTGTGGAAGACTGGTAGATTTATCTAAGTGGTGCATTGTTCAACCTGCAGAGAGAAACTCAAAATTCATAGAATCCCTGCAGTGTGGAAACAGGCCAATTGGCCCAACAAGCCCACACTGACCATCTGAAGAGAATCCCACCCAGACCCATCCCCCTTCTCTATCCCTGTAACCCTGCATTTCCCATTGCTAATGCACCTAACCTACACATCCCTGGACACTATGGGCAATTTAGCATGGACAGTCCACCTAAGCTGCACATCTTTGGACTGTGGGAGGAAACCGGAGCTTCTGGAGGAAACCCACACTGACACAGGCAGAATGTGGAAACTTCACAGAGACAGTCTCCCAAGGTTGGAATTGACCCAGTGTCCCCGGTGCTGTGAGGCAGCAGTGCTAACCACTGACCCACCATGCAACCCCTATGGGCATGGGGTGTGTCCATGGAAAGGAGGGGTAAGGGTTGGTGGGTTGTATTTGTTTCAATTCATTTTGTTATGGTACACTTGCCATTATTGGTCAGAGCATTAAATATAAGAGTTGGGATGTCATGTTGTGGCTGTACAGACATTGGTGAGGCTACTTTTGGAATATTGCGTACAATTTTGGTTGCCTTGCTATAGGAAGGATGTTGTTAAACTAGAAAGGGTGTAGAAAAAAATTACAAGGATGTTGCTGGGATTGGAGGGTTTCAGTTACAAGGAGAGACTGAATAGGCTGGAACTTTTTTCCCTGGAGCGTTGGAGACTGAGGGGTGACCTTATAGGGATTTATAAAATCATGAGGGGCATAGATAAGGTCAATAGCCAATGTCTTTTTCCAAGGGTAGGGGAGTCCAAAACTAGACAGCATTGGTTTAAGGTGAGGGGGGAATGATTTAAAAGGGACCTGAAGGACACTGTTTTCACACAGAGGGTGGTGTATAAATGGAATGAGCTGCCAAAGGAAGTGGTAGAGGTGGGTACAATTACAACATTTAAAAGGCATTTGGACAGCTACATGAATAGGAAAGGTTGAGAGGGATATGGGCTAAACACAGGCAAATGGGCTGAGTTTTGATTGGGATACCTGGTCAGCATGGACGAGTTGTGCCAAAGAGTCATTTCTGTGCTGTATGACCATTTAACTCTTATTTGCAGACAGCACTGGTGCGCAGAGGAAGGCATTGAGCCCAGCCTGTGTGTACAGCTTGTAGCCTCCCCTCTCATTTTGGAGTCACTCAGCTCACATCCCAGGAAATCCTACCAGTCTAGAGTGAAAATCCAACATCCCAGGTCAGTTTTTCTCAGGTTAGGTTTGCGGAGCTGTGATATAACCTGTCTCTGCACTGTCAACCAGGAATGAAAATTAGTGTGAAATTTGTTAATGCTACACTTGCTGATACAAAACTGAAGCTGCTGTTCAATTGCAAATTCATTAGGTTGAATTTACGTTCTTGATTATCCAAACTCTGTGTATATTTTATAAAGAAATAAAAAGCAAGTTTAGTTTTGCAGTCGATTTGGCACACAATGAGGCATGTCCTGTCTGCTGGCAACATCCATGTGATTTATCAGGAAAGGGAAAATACATAGAGGTGTGAACATATCTGGAAGAGAGATCCAAAGGACAGAATGGGAAGAAAAGAAAACAAGACAAACCCAAGTTGAGCCATTCACTCTCAGACTAAATAATAAAAGTATTACCTCCAACCCTTTTTTTTGATGATGTTTCCGAGTATGACTTCCGCCCTGAAACAATATTGAATGAATCAGAATTAATGTTACAACTTGCAACAGTCATCATTATACTAGCACGTGGCTAAACAAAGTAAAAATATAAATTGACACCAATGGGACTTTTGTTATATTTGACCACCTGTTTGATGTACAATGCAACAGGGGAAATGTTTAACCCACTAAACTCTTCATTCGAAAATGTTTAACACTAACTTTAAAAGCACAAATGTCATTTTTGTTTTCTATAGGAAGTCTTTGATAGTTCAAAGGATTGTCCAGCATGTGCCACTTATCACTTCAGCAACAATACAAAAAAAAGTTCTGAAAAATGAAGAACTTGAACTTTCATTAGTAATTTATTCAGAAATGCACAGAGGTCTGCATTTCCCCAGTTCTGTTCTATAACGTAGCCCAATTTAAAAACTGGCAAAGGCCAAGGCAAAAAGTAAGCTGTCCCAAACTTGTCGTTAGAGTGTCAGGGGCAGGCAAAGCTGAACTTCTCCCAGTGGGACCAGAAGAAGCATTTGAGAGTCCACAAATAAAATGTAAAATCACACATTCCGGACCTGACTACTTTTCCCATCAGACTGGTGGGAAAGAAACAATCACTTCTCCTTCCCGGTCACTGGTTAAAATGACACATGGGTCACAAGTATATAATTGGGGTCTAAACTGCATGTTTACAGAAAGACTGCACTTTCAACTCAACAGGTGTCCATTTTAGTTCAGGTAATAATTAAATCTGGTGTGCAGAAAGCTTGACCTTGATGCATTAGATTTAACTGCCCACTATGTGATCTGGGTTAATACCATCATCCATGTGTTTTGTAGTTTGTGGTGAGGGTGGGTGGGATGTATGTGGGGATGTAACATTTTGATCTGAATGATTATTTGGATGCTGGTTAAATTGGAAAAATTAATCCAAATACACCAGGAAATTGTTTTCAACTTGCTGATCTCCATATTTCACTACAACATATTTAGACTGTATGGACGCAACCTCCACCTGACAGATAAGTTGTCAATAGAGATATGTTTAACACTCAGTTAGATAAATATTCATGTGGATTTGCCCTTAAACTTTGAATTCATGGCCTTCCTGGAATTCACCAGTGAAAGGAAGGCAAAAAAACTCACAGTAGTTGAAGGAGCAAAAGCCATGGCAAGAAATATACTGAATACTCATAGTTGGTTTGTAAGAAAGGGTTTGTTCACAGTACTTGCACTAGGGCTTACTTTATAGGCTTTGACAGAGTCAGGTTACTTTGGATATTTGAAGATTTGATTGCCATTTTGGAACTCCAATCCATCAGATCATTATTGGTGCCCCTTATGCTGTGTTTTTTAGGATTCAGACAATGGCCATCAGAAGATGCAGGAGCAGCAACCAACAACAGTTGCTGCTGCTCACCGGCCTGCAGCTCCACACAAACAGGGAATCAGTATGAAGGTGCAGCTCACACAAAGTCACACCCAGTTCACCAGATATGCAAGGAGACAGTAAACCTTCCTCAACATGCAGGAACACCTATGCCTCAGGAAGCCCAGGACGTCATGTTAATTGGTGGCAGATATTTGCAACCACCTGGAGGAAGACCTCTGCTAAGTGGACCTGATGGCTACACTGTACCAGTTCCCGTCAGAGTCATCAACACACTCAACACATAGTTTATTTGCCAAAGCAGGCAATTATATCATCTTTTCCAATGATGCACCCCACAGATTAGGCCAGTGCACAGGTCTACATCTCAGACTGACTTTTCACACGTACAGGACATCATCACCGACATACATGCTGCAACGAATGCACCCAGCAAACACACAGGAATATTTATAAACTACAAAGCCTTCAAATCATTTACTGCACAGCTTCCTAAAATGAATATTTTTTTGATATTGACTACTCTCACTCTTCTTCACATTCTTCCTGCACATCCTGTACAGGTAACTGTTTACCTGATGGAATGGACTATGTCCTGATGATGGTGAGATCATACAGCTGGCAGACCATCACAAATCACAGTGAGTAATACATGGCCCTTCCTAAAAAGTCCAGATAGCCAAGTATACTTCAAGCATACAATGGTCTCCTCTATCACCTGTGTTTCGTGGCAGTGTAGCTTTTGCTATGTAGAGGCTGCCCATCTTTACGTAGATTGTGCACTAATGTCATAAGCCGTGTTGTCAAATGAGTGTCCTTATTACCCAGTAGCCACTCCTTGGTTTGTCATTTGGCTCAAATTCAGATGGCACAGTGGACTTACACAGAATAAAGACAATTTGACTGCTGCCAGGATATCTGCCATTTATCCACATGTTACACTGTATATGGCTAGGCACCAGCTGGACGTAGAGGGAGTAGAATCCCTTCAATTGTGGTACATCTCAGAAACAGTATCTGTCAATGGAACCCTGCATTATGCGGAAGCCTGTATTCCTTCTGAAGCTGGATACTAATTGAATTTTTTTTTCAGGCAAGAGAGAATGAATTTTATTGAATTTCTTAGAATATAGAGCTTTAGCAACCTCCTTTATGCAACAGTAAACTGGGAGATGTTGCAAGAATCATTTGTTCTATCCCAGAAAGATTCAGATGTACAAGGATTCATTGGCACAATCCCCTTCATGGCCATTGGCAATGCCATCCTCATCTTGCGTTATGCCTACAGCAGATGTGAAATTCCATTGAAGCCACCCTTTGTGAAATGAAAACATCTAATTCACTGTTCAGGTGGGAGAACTGTTCTCTATAAACACCCTGACTCAATATGGCCACTCTAGAAACTACTAATCTTTCTGCAATGACAGCAACAGCCAGTGTAAATATTCTAAGAACTAATCTAAAATAGGGTTAGTGCTGCCTCCTTCCTGTTGAATGCATGTTCATTTATGGAGGTTAAAGAGGGCTTAAGCTGAAGCATGAATGTCTAAATGGGAGTGCTGGTGTCAAATCAGTGGTACATGGTGACTGGCATCATGACCTGCCTCTCTGCAGTATTCTGCCGGACACTACCTGCACATATTGGTTTCCTTATCAAAATAGCAAATGGTGTGGCTAGCACCAGAATTCCGTGTGTATGTTGCAAATGCTATTTTGGAGGCAAAATGGCACACATGACACCAATAAAATGGATTTTAGGATATGAATTTCACAGCCAAAACCTGTTAGTTGACTGGTTATAATACAATGAGACAGCTGCAGATCACAGCAATAGTTTAAGTTGCCCTTTAGTAGTAAACTAAACAAGAACTTTTCAAAACAGTGCTTTTGCTGTTTTGTACTAGCCAGAGAAAAACATCCTTGATGGAAACATGATATTTCAGTCAGGTTCTATGCAATTACATTAAATAGAGTTTTTGGTGAACCTACAACATTGAACAAAGCTGTTCCCTAATTATTCATGTGTAGTGCATAGTGATGGGTAGATTTTATTTTAATGAACGCTACTGGTTAGCAGTCTAACCTTTGTATGCCAATTATTTGTCCTCATAAATCTTAAAGAAGAATGTCACTTTTAGAGAAGACTTTCAATGTAGCATATTCCATCACTAAAATAAATCCTATTCTGCAGGACAATAATGAAATAAATTCAAAAAAAAATCTTGGGTATTAGCACAGTGGGCAAAGCCAACATTTACTACAGGTCTCAAGCTGTCATGAGAAGGTGTGACAGGCCTTTTTCTTGAACCGGTGTCATTAGCATGGTGAAGATACTCCTACGGTGCTATTAGATAAGAATGCTTTGTAACACTTTGATAAATTGCTTAGCAACAGTCAGTCTGAGAATCAACCACATTGCTATGGGACCAGAGTCACGAGTAAGGACAACGGGCTTCATTCTCTTTAAAAAAAGGATTTGTTGTGTGAGAATCCAAAATTATGATGTTCACATGTTATTGATACAAGCTTTTTATTTCCAGAATTTTCAAAAAAATTCAAGTTCTCAATCTGTGATGGTTGGATTAGGGACTTAACCATAGCATGCCCACTACATTGAATATTACATTGAATGTACCATCTTTCCATCAGTTAATGTTCTCTCAACTTGGTTTATACAGTTTTAGGTCCAAGAACAAAAGTTCTAGAATAAAAGAAATTGGCCAAATTTTGGTTCCTATGTCCTCCAAATGATTTGCGTCAGTTGGATGAGTATCCTTCTGACAAAATTCCCAGCTAAAAGATGAAAACTTGACTCTGCCAAGCTCTCCAAACACAACAGCCTCTGCTCAGTAGCATGGAACTGACGATAACCACAAAGGGCAATTTTTATCCTTCTTTTCCAGTGGAAACCAGGCAGGTGGGTTGTAAGATAGAATCAGTTTCTAACACCACACCTCCCACCTACCCCCTCTTCTCTCTCTCTCTCACACACACACACACAGACAGAAACAGCAAGAATCATGAGTGTACTGATACCCCAAGGACTGCAGCAATTTAGGAAGGCAGCTCACTACTACTTTCTCAAGAGCAGGTACGAATAGCCAATAAATGCTGGCCTAGCCAGTAATGCCAACATATCATGAAGGAATTTTTTTTTTTAATCGTCCAGATTTTAACCTGCTCCCCTGAGTCGGTGGCGAGGACAAACTCCTAAATTCAGCATGGTCCAGTGTTCAATATGCATATTGGGTCCCAAGGGCATTCTCAGACCCTAAATGCAATTTTAACTCAGGCCTAGACATCAGAGCTGTTGTGGGTTTCCCTTTACACCATGCAGGACAGTAGAGGATCAGGCCTAGAAGAACAGCACTAATTTCCTGTGTTGTGTTAGGCCAGCTTCTCTGAAAAGGCATCCTGGAGTATCCCTGTCCCTGTCTTCCACCTTCTTGAACGAGCCCTTGGAACCTAATCCTGACAAATACCTTGTGGTCCGGTGATGAGACAATAGTAAAGGAGCCTGGTTGACTGTGCTGCAGATGGGTGGAAATTAACTTGATAATTGAATTGCCTACTGAAAGCCCACTAAAAATCAAAATGGTCAGATGGTTAAGTATGTAATCATGTCTAGGGGATGAATAGAAATCTATAGCCAGTATAACTATAAGATAGGATAATTAAGCATTCTGGGAGCAAGCCATCTCATGAGGGAAATTCAGTGGATTTTGTTTGATTTGGGATGTTGTTCATAGTGGAGAACCAGAAGAGGTGATTTTCAAATTCTAGCATGTCTATTCTTGCCAACAAACTATATTTTTAAAAAACGGAGGTAATATTTTGAATGCCTGAATTATGTCCAAGGCCCAAGCTATAAAATGTTGATGTGAATTGATGAGTGGCTGGCCAGATTGCTTCCAAGATGAAACTTTGAAAATATGCAAATTGGAATCTTATGCCAAACATAGGACCCTGTTGTATTTTTATGCACAAAAACACAACAGCCCAAGTACATTCAATCCAATTGTACCAGATATAAAGTGACATAACAATCATTATTTAAAAGGGCCACTGGAATTAACTCAGAAAATGCTCCTCCTGGGCTCACAGGAACGTCCCACTTGCAGTCTGGCCGTGATAGCATCCCCATTACTCCTCAATCTTAACACTACAACACTTCTGATTATCTCCGCCCTCAAAGTTTAATGTGCTGACTATTAGTTTACAGGACACCTGGTTTCCTATCTTACCACGACTGTTAAGCTGCAGTCTGAATGGTTGTTAGACGACTAAAAATCAATGACTGAACATTTTAAATTATTGCTATCGCAAGATCCATTAATCGAAATACTAAGTAGATTTACTGCTGTCACTAATGAATGGTTCAGACTTGGACTATTTAAGACCAGATAATGTATTTAAAATTTAAATTGAATTCTTAGAAGTCAATTTGGGAGGCAATCAGATCATGAGATTAATAATCTACTATCATGAAATTCACTTTCCAATACCTGAAACAATCTAGATTGACAGATGATTTGTCTGCAGGCATTAGAAATCTGTGAACAATACAGTCCCAGGTCACAGTGAGATCACTCCAAACTGAAAAATTTTGTTTTCATTGTAAATCATGTTGGAGCCTACTAAAGCCCGAGATCATTTTGAAAGTTTAACTATTTTTGTAATGAGGACAGGGAGTTAGTCACCTGTCATTGCAACTTCTCATGAGCCATGGTTCATTCACATATCCCTTCAATAGAACAATATTTTGATCATTGCTTTCTGTCATTTTCATGCAGAGAGAGATGAGGGATAAACACTCATTTCAGATTTAATGAGTCATAGTTGTTTCTCGAATAATTATGTACAGATTCACAAAATAGTAAAAGACTGCATTTATAGAAAATGTGCATCTGAAAGTAAAATGTAAACTCCAGAAACATATGCAAAAGGTTTTTGTACAACCGGAATACTGTGAAACAATTCTGCTGTCAGAAACGTTTTGAAGGTTCTGCCCTACATTGTAAACATCTGCTTAATAATAAAATATCAAATGAAAGAGTTTGATGTATACAGTTTGATGACAAGGTTGCATTTCTTTGGCATTATGCACTCAGGGAAGAACACTTACTTGCCAGCTGCATACACCTCTGCTGTATCAAACAGATTAATTCCATGTTCATAGGCAATTGTCATTAGCTGCTCAGCTACCTGTAAATATGAAACAGAAAAGAGACCTGAGCTGTGCAGCATGAATGATCTAACTAGTCTGCCTTATATCCATGTTTTCCATTTTTCATCTTTCACTCTGCATTGCTAACAGTTGGGAAATAGCAGCATTGATTGTGAAACCAGATTTCAGGGTTAAAGCAATACTTCATGCCTAGTTAAATATTTAAATTACTTCCTGACAACTGCATGGCTGTTCCATGCTCACCTTCAACCTGTCCTGGAAAAACCTGGAAAAGTTGTCAATGACAAGCTTTCATGCTATCGAAGGCACTAGCAGAGAGCTATGATACTGAGCTGATTGCAAAACTTAGATCTTGCTTGAAAGGTTATAAGTTTTATTTTTGCAACATGGTTACTCTAAGTGAGCTACTGGTCATGTTTATATGAGACTGCCAATATACTATAACAAAAGACCTTACATTTATTATATACAAGAAAAAGAAACTATATGTCAAAAATAACATAATTTTAAAATAGCAAAATAAAGATTCAACCCTTTTCCCAGCAATATACCTTACAGACTCTCAACTCCCAGGAGTTAAATTCACTTTAACATTCCTTGCTCAATGCCTTCTTGTGCATTCACCAAAGGCAATTCTTTCTGTCTCACATAGATACATATAAATACAGGCTCATTCACTGACTTTTTCTGGTGCTCCTCATGGAGTTCTGAAACAGATTAAGACTTCTTTTCAGCTCTGGTGATCTGGCAACGTTTTTCGAGTGAAGGTTTCCTTTCAACTCTCACAGCCAGGATATTTATCCCAACTAATCTCATACATCCTAGAAACACCTGTAATACTTAATTAGAAATAAACCTGCCCTTTTCTTCTGATCTTAAACTGGTACTGGCTCTAACCATCTGTTTCTCTGTAGATCATAAACTCAACTTTCTAAACATTCAGCAGTTAACTACCTAGGTAACTGATCAAGTCATTTAGCTTATTTAATATGCTGAATTTGGTTCACTGTTTCAAATAACTCGCTGACCCTTTCTATGTAAAACACATTCACCCTTACAGAACAGAAAACAAAATCCATGTTTCTTTTACATTTGAATCCAAGTTCCAAAATACTAATTATATGTTTTCATCACAAGAGCATAAGTGGATGGCAGGCAAGCCTTCATTCCCTGAACCTGACCAAACAGACTGTGGTCCAGATCATGAAACTGACAATGACAGAGCTTGTGACATCCCGTATCACTGAGAATAACCAGGGTGGTGTTTTATAAAACTGTCTGAACTCTTTGTCAACGTGGAACGTACTCTAATCCTGCTATCTGGAATGCCTAGCAAGCTGCAGATGTTTTGACCCATGGATCTCTTGCCTTACTTCCCATTCTATCATTTGTACCTACACTTTTGAATTTTTGTTTTCAAATACTGAAAGAATGTCACCTGGCTAGCCAGGGCCACACCACGAGGCAACACCACATCTCTCATAAAGAAGCAGTGCCATTTCATCTGAAACTCACAGACACCAGTTTGAATAGTGACACTCTACAAACTTACACAATCGTTGTAGGGTTATTATTTGCAGGGGACTAGATTTGTTTATGAGTGAGCTACAAGCAGGCTGGAGGTAAGAATAGTTTATGAGTCAGCTCACCAGAGGGTGGAATCAGAGCAGTGCTGCCAAAGACACCTCAGATAAGCACTTTGATGGGAGCACTCACAGATAATGAGCATGTACACAGGGATACTGAGTACAATGGCAGACTTGGTAGGGGGGCATGCAGGAGTCCAGCCCCAAAGTAGCTCAGCCAGGGCATCATGTGGGCCTTGATCCATCCCTCCCAGTCCGAAATGAAAGACAACTCCGTTATACCAAGACCAGATGCAACCCTGATACAATGTGTGTAGAACAATGTCTCAATCTCCAGGTAAAAGAAACCCAGGATTTAGTGCTGCAGTGGAAGAGGGGGTGGGGTGTGTGGTGGTTGGGTGCTGCAGAAAGCCTTATCAAAATGATGCCAGAAGATATAGGGAATGGAGCTTGACATCTTCTTGCCATCATGAGATATGCTCCTGGTTGGGGAAGTCAGCTTTGTAGTTGACATGAGGCTGGTAGCTAATTAACAAATTAACTTTACACCTCACAGGTATTTTACCAAAGGGCAGGGCCAACCTTATGACTGTGCCCATGGAGGGGCCTGGGCACCAATGGCTGCCAGTTCAGATCCAACACAGCTGCTAGGGGGTCACCAAAGCATGCCCACCTGCCACTGACAGTAAAAAAAAACTTACTTTGCCTTTGGGGTGCCTCAACCTGGCAGCATCCTCTTCCTCTCCTTGCAGCTTCAATTACTTTAACATTCCTTACCTCATTAACCTCCATGGATGATGCCTTGAGGCTGCCAACATTCTGGTTCTTTGACTGGACTGGCCACTGTGGGGGACAGATCACTGTCCTCAATTGAATGAAAATCTAATGAAGTCCTCTACACAGGCCATTGTTGACAACATTCTGCCTACGGTCTTGCCGTCTGCCTCAGTAAGCTTGGGACTGATTTTCAGCACATGAGGCTGGACTTTCAAGCCTTTAAATAAAATTTCAGACCTTATTCTAGCATGTTAATGGTTGCTCAATGATATTCCTGGTGACTCCTTGCTCCATGACAAGTGAATTTGCCAGTATGTCTTCTGTATCTGAGCAGTCATTGTCTGGTTGTACTTGGAAGTATGAAAGCAGCAGGAATGGGATAGTGACTAGGCACCACAGCTATTACCTGTACAATGAGCACTTAATGACATGGCTTATTTTGTATGCCTCTTCCATCCATGGTATCCATTAGATGATGACTTCTTCCCCTACCGTAATCACCCTTTTAACTAACATCCCTCTCAAACTCTGGACCTCACTTCCCAAACTGAATCTCTCTTTTCCAAAGACATGATGTATAAGAATGAGAGAACTAGTGAGAGGGTGAGAAAGAAAGTGTGTATGAGAGTGAGTGAGAGAGTATGTGAGAGAGAGAGAGTGTTTCAGGGAGAGCACGTGAGAGAAAGAGTCATTGAGATAAGACCTCCCTCTGTCCCTCCTCTCTATCCATGCAATTAGCCTGGATAAGAGGAAGACCCAGGCTGAAAGTTAACTTGCTTCCTACTGCAGAGGACAGCTTGGAATGTGTGTTACCAGTGGTGAAAGCAGATTCAACCTAACTCCTTTGCTTTGCCCTAGTCCCCTTCCCGTAACCAGGATGTGGAGCCAAGTCTTTCTTTATCTCTAGGTCTGCTTCTAGAGCAAGAAGCCAAAACAGATCTTATTAGCTAGCTGTGCAGCTCGTTCCTTTTTAATTAACATTTCTATCAATTACTCATTTTATTTAAACATTACCAATTAACTGCTTTCACAAATTTTTGTGCTCAGCAAATTGTTTATGTTCCCGTAATGTTTTTTTGAAATTGTGCCAAACCAGATGTCAGGCAGATGTTATTGGATATGTTGCAGAAGGAGAATAAGAGGCTCAAAAAAGTCTGATTGTTTGTTGGAGGGTTGGCAAACGGATTATTTCCAATTGCTTCAATTGAAACAATAAGTGCTGGAAATGCTCAGCAAGTCTGGCAGCATCAGTGACAAGAGAGACAGATGTCAACGACCTTTCATCACAACTTGTGCAGATGTGGATCTGAAGTATTGACTGTTTTAGCCTCTCCACTGATGCTGCCTGACCTGCAGAACTTTTACAGCATTTGCTGTTTATATTAGCAATTTATATTTCAGATTTCCCCCATTTGCATTATTTTGCTCTCCAATTATATGCTCTATGCTAGGTATTTGAAAATGTGATTAAATTCAAGGTATTTACTGTTCAATGCAAAGTGTTTTTTGTTGTTTAGAAAACTAATGTCTTTGGGATGTTATAGTCTAGATATTGTCATGGGTCAAGTTCAAAGAAGCAGAGCTGGTTGCATGGGATGATGAATCAAGTTTTGTCTAATTGTCTGATGAAGTATGATTACGAGATCAAAGCATCATTCATAGAATCCCTACAGTGTGGAAACAGGCCCTTTGGCCCAACAAGTCCACACCGAACCTCAGAGCACCGACCCAGACCCAACCCCCTGTAACCCACCTAATCTACCCATCCCTGGACACTATGGGCAATATAACATGGCCAATTCACCTAACTTGCACATCTTTGGACTGTGGGAGGAAACTGGAGCACCTGAAGGAAACCCACGCAGACATGGGGAAAATGTGCAAATTCCACACAGACAGTCACCCGAGGGTGGAATCAAACCCGGGTCCCTGGCGCTGTGAGACAGTAGTGCTAACCACTGAGCCACCATGCCACCCCTATCTACCATACTGAAGCTTAAGTTTTCAATGGGCTCTATACATAAAGTGAGAGCACAAAAATGAAGACATTTTGTTAAAACTATGTACAACATTTGATCGCATAATGACTACAGTTCCCAATTCTGTGCATCCAAAGGATATGGGGGAAAATAGGTATAAAAATACTTTGAACCTATATGAGAATAAAACATCATCTTAAATAGGTTTTTCATCTAATGCTTCAGAATAATAAAAATATTAAAAGATGGAAATGCCTGGTGTAGGAAAAGTTGAAAAATTTGAGAAAGGTTGGGAAGGAAACCAGGAATTCCTTACCCTTCATTCCATCAAGCAACTCTCCAAATATCTAGAATGAAGGGAGATGTTCCTGAGATTCCTCTTCCTTATGCCTTCACTAGTTTCTGCAGAAATGATGGCCAGTGAGAACACGTGGTTCTATAGGTGGCCAAGGAAATTTAAAAAGAAAATTTCACCTTTAGCCTCTAACTCCCAGTCCATTAGATTTCCTGGCACTCCTTCATGGAAGTTGTTTCTGTACTACCTCTCAAAGTATTTGCCTCTGTTCGACCTTTACAGATGAAGGGGAGATCCCTTTCAGAATTCAGAGGACAAATTAACCTGGAATTCCACATTCCACAACAGATACAAACCTGTCTTAAATTATAATTCTTTCAGAACTGTTAGTTTCAAATATAATACAACTTTTCCCTCAAAAATCATATGTTGTCACACTCTTAAATGAATAAAACTCTTCCTACCTCATCTGAGATCTGACCTCCAAACGTCACCCAGGTTCCTAGAAAGAGAAAAAAATATAGAAATATATTGTCAAATGACATGTTACTGGAGGTGGTGTAAATGCAATGAGCTGACAGTTTATTACTGTATTTTTAAAAATTTATTTAATTAAAACAACCTGTTAGCATATGCCTAAAATGTTTTGTACAGAACATTATTCGACTGTAAGGTTTATTTTTAAATTCCTCTCTGCTCTTGCTTCTTCCCATCTTCATAGCAACCATTAACTGTACAATCTGCCTCTTCAAATTCTTCTTGTCTTTGGCTGTGGCCTCATTCGTCCATACTAATGGTCTCAACCCCCTGTACATCCCATTAGTCAGTCATTGTTGACAGCCACCTAGAGCCTAATGTTGGAAAAAACTCTTTCTGATCATTTACATCCCCAATTTCTTAATCATCCTTAACTGCTTCTAATCATTTCGTCTTCATTTCAGCATCCATTATAGTTCATCAACTATTATATTCACAGGGAGATGTCACATATTCAACCCACCCAGACCCACCCTCCTTACCCTATACCTGTAAACTTGCATTTACCATGGCCAATCCACCTAACCTGCACATCTTTGGACAGTGGCAAGTAAGTCAGAAATTCTCATCACTGGTGGCATGTTCTGGGTTTGAAGACCCAGGTGCCATATTGAAAGGCCAGCTGCAGCTCAGTGCAGACGCTTCAAGCTAGGACTTGCCTCTCACCGTGAGGTTGTTGCCCTGAACAATAGGCTCCAAAGAAGGCCAAAGGGTTTCAAGTATTACAGAGACTGGCCTGAAAATGCCTCTGGACAGGATCATGGAGAGGAGATCAGTCCGTTTCGTGGCTGACTACATCAGGAGGCCAGTTATCAGCACATCTAGTCCACAGAATCACAGCAGATTCAGTTCCACTGGCCCCAACAAAAGCGACAGCCAACAGTGCCAGAAACAACGTCAGTGATCTCCTATGCGTCATAAGGGTAATTGGCACCATCTCTGCTTTGCTGCAACAAACGCACAGGGCCATTACTCACTCTAACTCCACCACTCTGTGAACTCATGGCTGTCTCCCTGGAAAGAGAACGGTGGCCACCTTGCAGACCCAAGCTCAACACAGGCTGTAGCCGTGCATGCTCAGTATGAGGGGCAAGGCAACTGGGGGGCAAGGGATTGCAACCTCACTCTTGGTGCCTCTTCCTCTCGAGGTGACACAGTGGTTCCATCAGATATCCACAGAGGGAGGAGAGCTTCTTCTCAGGATAGTCTAGACATGTCTTGTTCCTCCACAGCTCTATGCCTGTGGTGCCAATGTCTACAACAGTTCAAGTCAAGGAGAGTGAGCCTGCATCTGGCAGAAAACTTTAAGCAGGCCTGGGCCACCTAGCCCGAAAATTGCCTGGGTTTGACTGCCCAAGTTTTTTGAACCATATCGGTAGCATAGGTGTTCAACTAATTGGGAAACACAACATTTTTGCAATATAGAGATAGCAGGAACTGAGATAACGAGGTGTAGAGCTGGATGAACACAGCAGGCCAAGTAGCATCAGAGGAGCAGAAAGGCTGGTATTTCGGGCCTAACGTCAGCCTTCCTGTTCCTCTGATGCTGCTTGGCCTGCTGTGTTCATCCAGCTCTACACCTTGTTATCTCATTTTTGTAATATATGTTCATTTGCACTGTTATAACATCTGCCATGGCCTTCTTGCACTCATTGCACTAACCTATGATAAAGTATTGGAAAAATGTGGGCATCTTTAATCAGTAAAAGGATGTGATGTGTTGTAAACATCAAACAATGTTTATTCTCCCCTAGTTCACCTCTTGCACTCATTTTATGAGAGAGATGGCATATGGCATATGATGGTGTATGGCACAAGGGAAATGTTTGTCCTATATCTACCCTCCTCAAACAAACTTTGTAGCAGTAAAGTCAGTGAGATGGCCAATGATTAACTCACATGATCACACTATCACTCAGCAAGTAAAGCTCTTTAGTGAACAGTTGCACAAATTGCCACCTGAGCATGGTCCGATAGGATGCTGTGGAATAACAAGGGACCAGTGCAGTCACATTGCAATATGAAGCATTGAAGGGATGGAGATGGACAATCACTTACGAGGAACACTCCCTGAAATTATTTGCATGTCTTAGACACACAAATCATATTAGCATTGACATGCAGCAGAACAATCTAATGGAATTGCTCACTGTTTCACTGCTGCTTAATCACCAACATTGCTCGAGGGAAAAATATTGTGCTGCCACTTTATCTTTCACAGACATGAGCATATCAGATCTGTATTTGAAACAACTGATGTTTGTATCCAGTGCAGAAAAGAACAAGAACAATAACTCAAGCCACGAAAAATGTGGTAGACACCGAGCAGCCAGTTGTATGGCAGCTGATCAACTGATATTACAACTGGCATAAAGAAAGTCTTTGCTCTGCTTAGTCAACCTGCAAGTACATGGCTATTTGGCTGTTTCTGGTCTCTCGAGCTCTGTCCTGGCTACTGCTCTATTTTTATTCCTTTGAAGCTTCTCATGGACCATGTGGGCAGCACGGTGTCTCAGTGGTTAGCAATGCTGCCTCACAGTTTGATTCCACCCTCAGGTGACTGTCTATGTGGAGTCTGCACATTCTCTTTGTGTTGGGTTTCCTCCAGGTGCTCCGGTTTCCTCCCACATTCCAAAGATGAGCGGATTAGGTGGATTGGCCATGCTAAATTGCCCCATAGTGTCCAGGGATGTGCAGGCTAGGTGGATTAGTCATGGGAAAAACAGGGTATGGGGTTAGGGCAGGAAGGTGGGTCAGGGTGGGATGCTCTTTGGATGGTCAGTGTGGACTCGATAGGCCAACTGACCTGCTTCCATACTGTAGGGATTCTATGATATCAAGATTCTTCACCCTTAGAGGATTCCTGTCAATCCTGCAATTTCTCCTCATCCAACACATGCCCCTTTTGGTGACTCAGATTATGGCATACCACTCAGATATGGAACTCCCTAACGGAACGATCTAGCCATTCCAGGTGTAGGTTAAGGAGGTCTACAGTCTATTCTAAATGGTCACGATTGAATGTGAGTAATGTTGTATTTTTACTCTGTGACAGTCAGAAGATTTCTTAGAGGGGTCAGATTTGGAGATGTTAGCTTTTGTCTCCCAGCAATGGTCTGTGTATTGGCTAATAGCTTTAGAAAGAGGCTGGTACCTGTTAATGCTCCAATATATACACATCATGGCAGATTCCTGCATAACTAGCACAGTCCTCTAAATTCTGGTTGTCATGGTCACAAATCTATTGAACATTAAGGGAGTGCAATCCTTTTCTGTTCATGATCACTGCTGGTAAGGCAGAATTATATTGTGTTCTGGCAAACAATTCATCAGTGACAACCCGGATGCATTCATGAGTCAAGGCTTGTGAGATGTCACAGAGATCTCCATATGCCCAAAGACCTGACCTGCTGGGAAAGAAATGAAAGGTTTCTCTAACCTGGTGGACTGGCAGAATATGATTGCCACCCAATCCTGTGAGTACACATCCTTGTCCAACAGCTGGCATAGCTGTTAGACAATGGGTCAGGTCATTCATAATCTTTTTTGGTATTGTATTCAGAACATTTGCAGATAGTTATAACAAAGTCTGTAAGTTGGTTATACACCATGAATTTGGCACCTCCCTTGTGCGGTGATATTGTCCTACTGCTTTGACCTCTGGAAGCTGATTACCATCTGGCAGTGCCAACTGTTTTTCCTGAGCTTACACAACCTCTCCTCTCTACTGACAACAAGGTGCAGGGCTGGATGAACACAGCAGGCCAAGCAGCATCATAGGAGCAGAGAGGCTTCCAGAGGGAGGAGGGTAACTTCTTCAGGTTAGGCATCCTTAGAAGAGGCTTCGCAGTGCAGTGATCATGAACAGAAGAGGATTGCACTCCCTTAATGTTCAATAGATTTGTGACCATGACAACCAGAATTTAGAGGACTGTGCTAGTTGATGCTGCTTGGCCTGCTGTGTTCATCCAGCCCTGCACCTTGTTGTCTCGGATTCTCCAGCATCTGCAGTTCCTACTATCTCTCCTCTCTACTGTTTTCTATATTTATTCTTTCTTACACTCGGCACTGCCATCGAACAACTGGATGAGCAATGGCCTTTCTGTGTTCGGCAGGTGGAGACTTGTGAGAAAGGTGAAACAGATTATAGAGTGTTAGTGTGGCCTGACATCCTTCACACTGAAGTTGTACATCATGCCCTCTCAGATGGTGGTGTTGAGCACAGAACTACTGTATTGGGTTATTAAAGAATTTAAGAGTTCTGTGATATTTATTCAGAAAAGGTTTCCCAACAAATTCTCTATTTGCCTTTGACACAAGGCAGTATGAGAAGCATCCCCCACAACCTCTGCAAATACTCCCTCTCTGCATTCCACCCCAATAGCTATAAGTGGTAGCAGGCTCACTGGTGTTTGTCACAAAATATGGCAATTGTAATGTAGAGGCCTCAAATCCTTAGGGCTTTGTGCCTCAGTCATTTGAAAAGTTGAAGCTGTCATGGTAAGTGCCTTGTCACATTGAGTATTGTTGAGCTCTTAGATCAGAAGATGACATTTAGCACACAAGTGGGAATTTGATTGTTTAAAGAATGTTGACTTCCAGATTAATTGTGAATAGAAGGTATACAGCTAGCATTCTTTGATCACTTGAATAATGATGATTGCAATGGCCCATTACAAGGGTTCATATGCCAGTGTTACCCTCCACTCTCTTTACAAACAAAGTGCTTATCCCTCCTCTTTACAAGCCATCCATTTCAGTTTCAATTCTCATTGTGTAGTTGATTTTCAAGTAGATACAATGAGATTTCAACTTTGAGTTCACATGAGTGACCTGCAGCTTCTTTATTATTGCCCCCCTTCTTCCCATTCCCCTTTCTATTGTCATCCCTGTTGTGGCAGAGCTTTCGCCCTCCCATGTTTCAGTTGCGTTCCTTTACATAACTATTAATGTGCACTCTTTAAG